CAGGTCTGTACTAATGGGTGGTACTGGCTGACCAATCCTTGGAACAAAAAAGGTTAGGGACCGCTGGTATAGATGTAACTACTCCATAACAGACTAATACATGTTTCTTCCAGCGTCGTTTGAGACATACCTTTCACCCGTTTCCACATTGAGTCTCGTTAGCTCTGGTTTCGAGATATTCTCGCTGGTTCGCGGACAACTACGCGGTTTGCTCGGCTCCGCTCTTCTGCCTTTGGTTCAGCTCTTCCGGCTCGTATTTCTGAGGGATCCTTCAGCGGTGATGTCATTCCCGAGGGGATTCCCTGGTTCGAAAAGACTTTTAACAAACTCTTGGTTTTCCCGAGCGAGCACCACTTTTGTTTGAAGAGACATTCTTTGTTAAAGGACTTCCTATTTTTAAGTGGACTTTTTATTTTGTTTTAGTCTGTGAAAAAGATAGTTGATAAATGTTTATCACCATAGTCTTCATCACAAAATTACCACATTAGGAATTAGTATAAATTTGACTCCAACCTTGTTCAAAACTTGATTTTTTTTTGGAGAACTACTTCAGTTATTAAAGTACAATCTATGAGGCTTAAAGTTTTGTCATTTACTTTTTCATTTTGTCACTTCATTTATTTTAAACATTCATGATCAATTTTGTCACTTGTTTTTATCATTTTTACAGTTAGAATCCATCGACACCTTCTTCCCCACCAAATGTTGTCGCTTCTCTCCCTGGAGCAAAAAGGTATTGGTCCTCCTTTTTCTCAGTCTCATGAGTTTTTTTTTTCCCTCACATGTTTTATATCCTCTTGTTTTAACCACATTTACATGCATGTCATTACATATGTCTGCTTAGCCAGTGTGTGTGTCAGCAGCACCTTAGCAGTAATCGGTGTCTCTCCTGTAAAAACGTAACTGTTCTGTAGCACTAGGTATGAACAATACAATTCCCCTCCATTGTGCAGTGTCCAACACTCTGAAATGTTGACCCTAGGTATTTTAACTCATTCACCTTTACTACAGCTCCTCCTTGCAGCTTTTCTTTCCACCCACCTCACTCTCGTTGTATTCTGTCAGCACCTGCTACGCTTCATTCCTCTTTGCCCTAAAGCAAACTTCCACCTCTTCAAGGTTTACTTTCACTTGCTGCTGTCTCTTACCAGATACATTACAATGTCAACAACGTGAATCATGTTCCATTCGCCGTGTTGTCTGACTTCATCTGTCAACCTGTCCATCACCATAGCAGACATAAAAGGGCTAAAGGATGATGTAACCCTCGACACATATATTGAACCTATCAGTCTTGCTGTACTTGTGCGTGTGCCATACCATTTAAAAATGTAATGCTCAATACTACTGGTCTGTACTAACTAGCTGACCAGTCCTTGGAACAAAAAAGATTGTGGACAGCTGCTATAGATGTAACTACTCCATAACAGACTAATACATATTTCTGCAATTGATTATTATTTGATTGATTATAAAAACGTTTAATTATTTAGGTTAAGAAACTCTGCGTCATGAACTTTACTTAATGCTTTTTAAGCTCCCGCGGGCCACACAAAATGGCTTGGCGTGCCACATTTGGCCCCCCGAGCCTTGAGTTTGACACTCATTTTCACCGGGGGCCACATTAGCAATACAGTTCCATTTGAAGGGCCGGTTGTAAATGGAAGACCGTATAGATTAGGGGTCCTCAACCACTGGTCCGCGGACCAGTACCAGTCCGTAGGTCATTTGATACCGGGCCGCAGTCGAACACATTGAAAAAAATGTACTTAATTTTTACAGATTTCATCTGTCAACCTGTCCATCACCATAGCAGACATAAAAGGGCTAAAGGATGATAACCCTCGACACATATATTGAACCTATCAATCTTGCTGTCCTTGTGCGTGTGCCATACCAGCCTCACAAATAGTCATCACAGTGTGCCTTTGAATCTGCCTTAATCTGACATTACAATTAGTTTCAGGCTAGGACCAGGAAAGACCATTTTTGTGTTTGTTTCTTGCTTAGGTAGATCTTACAGGGTTATTGTTTGTGTTTGTGTTTTTAGCTTTGAATTAAAGCTCCTTACAGGCTTGTGATCGAATGACTTAATTACCTAATCAGCTCGAATAATGTCGTAAGAAGGAATTGTTGTATGTCGCTACACAGTACGGCTCCTGCTTCCCCTTGAAAACACTCTGAAAGCTAGTAGTTAGTGGAGGCATTGATTGTAAAGGGATTCCATTTCTTGAGAACTCAGGGGTTGTTACACAAGCTGAAAATAGAGTGAGCCACTCTGCATCTCATGCGGCAGCTGGGGGCAGCTGTTTAGCATTACTCCCTGTACACCAGAGCGTTTGCTTCTGTTACGCTGCCTCACTTTGATTAATTTCTAGTGGAATTCACCGCCGGTTCTAAAATAGATGCTGGACTGGCTCACAAGATTCCAACTAAAGAAAGCAATGAGTGGGAGTTTTCTGTAGGCAGAGACCTCGCACCATGCTGAAAATGCACCAGTTAAACTAAAAAAAAACTCGAGCCAGCTACTTTCAACAGATGTGACCTGAGCATTTTCTCACGACCCTGCAAAGAGTGAATGTCATGCTCCACCTGCACATCCCCTGCACACCCTGTCCAGTCCAACCCATTCTTTGTTTCTGATTCAGGCGAATTAGAGTTGAGGCATCTTGGGTTTCAGTATTCTAACAGAGTCTAAACCTCACAAGCTGAAGTTAGTGTTCTCTGACTCTCTATTTGCGGCTGCATTGTTTGAAGACAAAGCTCCCATTACTTTGAAGCAGAACCTGTTACCACTCAAGTCTCTATTAGTCTAGTCGTGGGAGTGCTGAACAAGCCTGCAAGGAGAGAGAGAGAGTGAACGCTGGCGCGACTTGCTGCCGCTGCTCGCCCGTAACTTTTTAAGCTATCACTTTACGTTTTTAGTTTAGTTTTTTTTTTTTAGCAGCTTACTGATCCACAACTGTCACCGGTCCTGTGTTCATTTCGACCGAGTGCCCGCGGGGTTTGTCGCCACGGTGTTGCGCTTTTTCTCTGGACTTTGCTGTCATTTCCTTCGCCAACCTGCGGTGGGCCTGCTCCAATCCTCCGCTGCTGAGCTTCTCCAGCTTCGTTCTTCCCCCCCGTCTGCACCCTCGCCGGCTGCATCCCCCCGCCACCCCGTCTGCACCCTCGCCGGCTGCATCGCCTCTCCTGCTGGACGTTGCTTTTCTGCTCCGCCGGAGATATATCCACCGTGGGTCTCGTCGGAACATCCACGAAGACACCTCGAAAACAATACAGTCATCTGGTCCACCTCTCGTCGCCCCCCACGAAACACTGGCAGGGTCGCTGACCACAGTGTGCTAGTCTACCTAGCCCGGTAGGCTAACACTCCTCTCCGTCAACTTTGGCCTGCTCAACATCCGCTCACTCACGAGCAAAAGACATCTCATCCAGGATCTCCTCACCGACCGTAAGTTTGACTTTCTCTGTTTAACCGAGACATGGCAACAGCCCAATGACTTCTCTCAACTTAACGAATCCGCTCCTACGGGGTTTGTTTACATCTGTCAATCCCGCGAATCCGGCCGAGGAGGAGGTCTCACGATAATTCACCGCGAGAAATGGGAAGTAACACCAAATCACTATACTCAATGGGTCGAGTGCTGCTTAGGAGCACTCGGTGTTATTAACCAGTCTCAAATGAATAACACGATCAGTCTCATTATCTTTAATTGTTATTTTATCCTACTAATATAGCAATATTGTATTACTTGAAGTATTACAAACATACTAAAATCAATAGTATTCAATAACAATTAAATTCCACCCTCCTCAATAGACTCTCTGCCCTTGGTATTACTCAGATCCTTTAAATCATACCTGTCATGTCGCACTCAGTTCATCCAACTTAAAACCTTCACATCCCAACCCTCTTCTGTCACTTCAGGTGTGCCCCAGGGCTCTGTCCTGGGTCCCCTTCTGTTCATCATCTATCTTCTCCCCCTTGGTAATATCTTCCGTAAATACTCCATAAACTTTCACTGCTACGCCGATGACACCCAGCTCTACCTAGCCAGCAAACCCGACTCCAACCTCCCGCCTCCCTTCTCTCTTAGACTGCTTGACTGAAATAAAATCCTGGTTCACCTCAAATTATCTTAAAACTAAACAGTAACAAAACAGAGGTTCTCCTCATTGGTACTAAATCAACATTATCCAAAACCAACAGTTTCTCTTTTGATATTGACAATTGCTCCATTTCCCCCTCCCCACAGGTTAAGAGTCTGGGTGTCATCCTCGACAGCACACTATCTTTTCAATCTCAT